GGAGGTCTGCGAAACCGCACCTCAGAGACCATCGAAGACTGGCTCCTGCCCACACACACTCGCAAATTTCTCAGCCTCTCAGTAGGCCACTTCTATGGACCAGTTCCAGTTCACTGCTCCGGCAAACGTCACTACATGTCCCTGAGGCAGCCACACCCTCTCCAAAGAAGTCTGTTATCTCAGGTTAGGAAGGGGCTTGGAGGGAGGTATTCTGCTAGTTCTTTGTTGACTCCCTTATCCTAGAAGGCATAATTACTGGTTCCTGCACACACTATTTCTGAACCCCTTAAGAGTCCTCTTTTACCCATTTAGTGGCTGAGCCTCTTTTAACCAGTTGACAACTCTCTGTATTTAATACCCTGCTAGTGATAAAGATTTTCCCGATCCTAAACAAGACCAGATTAGCTTTCAATAATCAAAAAAAGTAATGGATCTGTCCTCGGTGTTGTATATACATCCTATTTGCAGTACACTTGCTCATATTAGGTTCAAGTCTAAGAAAAATCTAGGCTTCTGTGTGCTTCACTAGAGGGCCAATTTATTAAAAAGAAAAAGTCTCAAAAAATATCTGGAATTCAATCAGAAATCACTACAGTAGCCATTAAGAGTTAAGTGATCCTAAGAGAAAGATATAAAAAGAAGGACTTCCCTGGTGGTCCGGTGGTTAAGACTCTGCCCTTCCACTGCAGGGAGCAGGGGTTCAATTCCTCGTCAAAGATCCCACATGCTTCATGGGCACGGCCAAAATATTTTTTTTTTTTAAAGGAAAGACAACAAAAGAAAGGATTGTGCCAAGTCTTAAAGTCTTCAGATTTTGGTAGGAAAACATACAGATAATTAAAATCCAAGAAATGCCAAGTTCAATCAAGTAAAGGAAAAGACCTAAGGAGACACTAAGAGGAAATTCTGTGACAGTCAGACTAGTCCATCAGGGCTCAAACACGGATCCAGTCAGGCTGGCCAAAGTCCTCTGGTCATTAAGAATTCTCAGCAAAAAACAAAAACTTCTCAGCAAACAGAGAATTACACATAAAAGTAATAGAAAAATTATTTGGCATGACATACTCTTTAGCAAATAAGCATCTTTTCATTCCAGGACTCTTTATGTTATGTACTCTGTGCATATTTGGAATCTTAAGTTTTTGTAACATTTAAAGAGAATCTGACCTATTAAAGTAGGTCAGGTTTGCAATTCTAATTCAAAATGTACAATCGTTATAGATTTATATTTTAATCAGAAAACTTACTATTTATATATTATATTCAAATGCTGAAACATGTGAGAGAACCTAAGCTTCAAATTTATAAAAATTACATAAGTATGAACTGATGTTTGTTGAATAATTAACCTTCTTAAAAAGGAAATTCTTTAAATTTATAAATCAAATTTAATACTTTTAAGATGTCTGTTTACAAATTAGCCTAAATATTCAAAGGCCCTTAAAAGTGATTCTTAAAATTTGCTAGACCTGGGAAGTCCCTGGAAGCCCAGTGGTCAGGGCCCTGTGATTTCACTGCCAAGTGCCCAGGTTCAATACCTGGTCAGGGAACTAAGATCCCACAGGCCTCATGGTGTGCCAAAAAAAAAGTTGCTAGACTTTCAATAGGATAAGATTTGAAAACTGATTCTAAAAGATTTAAGAACTGAGTTTTTAAATTTTAGCCTTTATAAATTGAGGGTTTTTTTTCCCAAATACAAGAAGTCTAAATAGGCTTTTCTGCACACAAAGGATATCTCAATGGGCATCAAGAAATTAACCTACAACCAGAGGAGTGATGGAACCAACTTGCTAAATTCTGAGGAATCTTGCAAACTGACTGTTAAACACAGAGTTATAAAAATTAGTACAATTACTTTAAAAACAAAGTTAACAAATAATCTAAATTCATCAGTTTCTTTTTTATTACATTTTACCATTATCTATGTTCTTGAGATTATTTTCTAAATTTTATTTGTAAGGTGGAAATTATAGTTGCAGCCTACTACATTTCTTCCTAATTCAACATTCAGTGATGTCATGTCAGGAACTTGAAATCGGTCATGTCGGAAGTATTTACACCACAGAAATGGGCAAAGTATAAATCAGGGCTTTGTGGATTAAGGAAAGCCTCAGAAAAGCTGTGCTCTGATATTACAGTAAAAGAGCCACAATGTAAAGGGGAGAAGACAAATAAAACAGTATATAACAGCTAAAAGGGCGTTAGAGATCACCTAATAGTCTAGGGCGGTACACAAAGGCTCAAAAATAATACAAGGGGCATTCTCAAGACAGTTAAGTACACAAAGTTTGAACAGAACCATGTTCATACACACAGTGAAATGAAATAGGCAGGAAAATTAAACCCCAGTTTACAAGAGAGAGAGAGAGAAAAAGCAGACTGTAAAATGACTAGGACTTATTGCAAACACCATTCTAATGGCCTTGGGACTTTAACTTACAATAGGATCTACTGAAGTTTGAGGACAGGAGAGAAGACATTAATCTGGCAACAGCTTATTGGATGCCATGACGGTAGTGAAACACTTTAATTCTGAAAATTGTGAAGCAGACAGAAAAAAAAATTACATACAGTAAACAATCACGGGGACCTGGAGGGCTACAGTTCATAGGGCTAAAGAGAGCTGGACGTGACTGAAGCAATTTAGCACACACAAGTTAAAAATCAATTAAAACTCAAAGCTCAAAGAATACATACTCTGGGTCCACTTCTATAAAACACAAACCCATCAATAATGACAAAAAGCAAATCAGTGGTTTCCAAGTGTTAGAGAGATGAACTACAAGGGATCTCATGGGTGATAGAAATGTTCTTTATCTTGACTGTAATGTATGTATATAACTGTAGAAACTTATCAACTGATACATTTTTATTTTTGGCCTTGCCAGGTGGCTTCTGAAATCTTAGTTCTTGACCAGGGGTGGATCCCAGGCCATCAGCAGTGAAAATCCCGAGTCCTAACCACTGGCCTGTCAGGGGATTCCCTCAACTGATAACACTTTAAATGGATGGAGTTTACTGTATTAAAGTATTCCTCTATTAAAAAATAATTACAACTCAAATTAATCAAACATTTGCTGAAACTTCTAGTTTCCCTCTTTTCATCTAGTAAGCTCTCAGTACAAATGCATGCATGCATACTTAGTCACTTGGGTGGAGTTCAACTCTTTGCGACCCTATGGACTGTGGAGTCCATCAGGCTTCTCTGCCCATGGGATTCTCCAAGCAAGAATACTGGAGTGGGTAGGCATGCTTTCCTCCAGGGGATCTTCCCAACCCAGGGATCGAACCCTAGTCTCCTGCATTGCAGGCAGATTCTTTACCGCTGAGCCACCAGGGAAACCCCTCAGTACCTATAGTCAGTACCATCAATTTTTTCCTCAGATACTATGTGCAGGTAAAACCTCATTTCTAACTTTTCCTCACCACCATCCCCATGCAATCCAATCCTTCCCATCCCCTCCTAACAATCTCTGGTAGGCTGCTCATTTTCTTTACCTGTATAATGGGCATAAAATGACCTACCTCACAGGTATATAATGCACTCCATAGATAGCAAGAGCTTAAAATAGTTACTGTTCTGCCTTAGTCATTTTCTACATATTGATGCTCCTTGAAGGCCAGAATCTGTCTTATTTATCTTTGCATTTTTCTCACTGAACCTAGCACAGGGAACAATAAATAGAGGCCCCAAATAAGAATTTCTCCAGAGAAATGTCTGTGGCACCTAGAAATTCAGATATGGATGAAAAAACACTATACAGGTGAGAATTTTAAATGTTATAAAGACATAAAAGTCGTGCAATTTGAAAAGGAAAGATCAATTATGACTGAAGGAAGTAGGAAACACTTCTAAGAGCTAGCTAAGGTCTGAGCTAGCTGATGTCTGAAGGGGAGTAAGGGGAGGGTGCATATTTTCTTCCCTAAATGGTAATTATAAACTGCAAAATAGAAGTTCAAGAGAAAAACCTTTAATAGTGACATCAGGATCCTTCTTAACAGCAAAATACTGTAAAAAGGTCCGAGGCAAGCAAAACTAGGCTCTTCAAACACTACTGACCTCGAAGACAAAAAGAAGCAACTTTTCCCAATGACTAAATAATTACAGGGCTTCCCAGGTGTCTCAGTGATAAATAATCTGCCTGCCAATGCAGGAGACACGGGTTCCATCTCTGATCCGGGAAAATACCCTGGAGAAGGAAATGGCAACACACTCCAGTATTCTTGCCTGGGAAACCCCATGGACAGAGGTGACTGGAGGGCTACTGTCCATGGGGTCGCAAAAGAATCGGACACGATAGAAACAACTAAACAACAACAAATAACTGCAACAGGACTATCCGAAATATGATCTCTAAGTTCAGGATGGAGTAAGGTTTAAGGACAAAAATCAGGAAATGTAAGTTTCAAGATCCCTGTACCACTAATATTCTGAGGTACACCTTAACGCTAAAGTGGACTCGAGGGCAAGCAGAGTAACTGTTTCAACTGTGAACTCGAAGGTAGTTCCAGGAAGTCAGTACAGACCGCTGGGGCCCAGCTGTACTAGAAAGGTTGCAACGGGCCCAAAGTAGAATGGCTTTTGCGGGGCCTATAACCGTCTCCCCGAGCATCCCAGAAGCCAGAGAAGCAGTGGACTGCTAAATCCAGTTGCCAGAATCCATCGGAAGTCACTGCGATTGAAGTTTGCCGCCTTACCCAGTCTAACACAATAAGCAGCCCCAACTCCCACTTAAAAAGAGCCCTACGGTTTCCACTTGCTTCCCTGCCTCATTATGGGCAATGGAACGTGACGATCAGGCTTCCCGCTCCGCCCGGAGAAGGCCCAGCCTCAACTAAGGGCTAAAACAGCGAGTGGATAAAGCTATCTCTGGCCACAGACTCCACAAAGAGATGGAAGAGTGCAGGCGTCAGACCCGCTCAGGCCCTCATACTGGAGCCCAGAGGTCCGCGGGGCAACAGTGGAAGGTACAAGGGGAACGGTGGGCGGCCAAGCTCACCTGCCGCTTGTTCATCCGCCGCACATCGTCCAAAAAATCTAGAGACAGCATGGCGGGGCCGGCGAGGGGACACAGGAAGAAGAAAGGGCGCGATGTGACCGGCGGGAGGAACGGCTGGCGCACGGGCCAAGCGCACACTGGACAGGACCCCGCGGTGCCCGCGCTTCCGCTTCCGGGGTGGAACTGGCGCGGCCCCGCCCCCTCGCCGCGACAAGCGGACAAAGGGACTCCCGGCCGTCCTAGTCCAACCTCCTGGCCTGGCCTCTCTGAAGGAGGCTCTCGTACCTCCTGGAGCTCGTCTGCTGAGAGCCGACTGAAGCCCACTTCCCGCGCTCATCCTCGCGGCCCCACACTGAGGCGGCCGCTCAGGGTTAGGTAGGAGACCGCCCTGCAACCTCCGGAAGGCGGGACCTAGCGCACGCCTGGCCAATAGGGAACTGTGTCTCTGCGGGCAGAGACGGCCCGCCTCGGTTCAAGCCGGGGCCGCGAGTCTGGGTGTGGCGCTGGATTTGTCCTGAGCTCCGGGAAACTGACCACTGAGGTATTTCCATAAGTGCTGTTGGGTTAGGGCGGAGGCTGTGACTTTCAGAGCACTGCCTGAAGCTTTCAGAAGTTTAAGAAGCTCTTAGTTGCAGAGGAAACCTGGTAGGGTTAGAAAACTACCAAACCCAGAGGTGAGAGGGAGACAAGAGGAGAAAACTGCCAAACCATGGGGCTTCCCTGGTAGCTCAGATGGTAAAGAATCTGCCTGCAATGCAGGAGACCTGGCTTTGATGCCTGGGTCAGGAAGATCCCCTGGAGAAGGGAAAGGCTACCCACTCCAGTGTTGGTTAGAGAATCCCATGGACAGAGGACCCTGGTGGGCTACAGTCTACGGGGTCCCACAGAGTCAGACACGATGGATGACGGATGGATTCATCAACTGATGAAGGGATGAACAAAAGGTGGTATATCCATACAATTGAATATTATTTAGAAACAAAAAGAAATATTGTGACACAGATGAACCTTTAAAAACATTAGATTCTTAAAACATTGCTTCTTAATGAAAGAAGCCAATCACAAAAGACCATGAATTTTATGTAAAATGTCCCGAATAGCCAAATCCATAAAGACAGAAAGCAGTGGTTGCCAGGGCTGGGAGGGTTAGGTAAAGTGGGAGGTGATGCTAGTGGGTATGGGTTTTCTTTTTGGGGGGAGGTGTTGTAAATGTTCTAAAATTGATTGTGGTGATAGTTATACAACTCTATGAATATACTAAAAAACCACTGAATTGTATGCTTCAAATTGGTGAACTGTATGGTATGTGAATTATATCACAATAAAGCTGTTACAAAAAAGAAAAAAGAACTTGACTTGTTATTTGTTTAATTTCCAGTGGCGAATGCACAACCTGACAAACGTTGGGCACCCAAGAAATATTTGTTGAATTTAAAATATGTGTGTGTGTGTTGGGAATCTCCAACTATTGTGCATAGGTAAGCCACACTATTGAGGCAAATATGAATCCCTGATTTCTCAAATTAGAAAGGCCTGTGGAGGAAAATAGACATAAGCTCCTTGAAGGCAAGGACCTTTTCTTGTCCATTCATCTCTCCCCAGCTTTCTTAACAGTACCTAACTTTCTCCATTTTTAAAAAAAATTTATTTACTTAATGTATTTTTGGTTGCACTGTGTCTTCGTCGCTGGGCACAGGATTTGTGTAGTTGCAGCCAGCAGAGGCTACTCTAGTTTCGGAGCATGGGCTTGAGGGCACGAGGGCTCAGTAGTTGTAATATAGGGGATTAGTTGTCCAACGGCATGTGGGATCTAATTCCCTCACCAGGGATCACACCTGGGCCCCCTGCATGGGGAGCATGGAGTCTTGGCCAGTGGACCACTGGGGAAGTCCCCTACTTCATAAACTTTAAGTGTCAGACTAATTATGATTTTCTCAGAAATCATGTTACATCTCAATAGTCATTTCACTCTTTAGGTTGTGTTGGCTCTATAGTTTGTCTCAGCGAATGTTCAGTTGGTAGGATGCAGTTACTCTAATGTATTGTTTCATGATAAGTGTTTAGTTTAGGTGTTAAATTTGAAATTTCACTGTATTACATTTTATTTTCAACTAACAAAAATGGATCATTAATTCTGACTGCACTGGGACTGGGTAACCCACAAGTGTAATGAATTATGATGAGCAGCTGAAAAAGAACAGTGCTAATAGACATGTGATAAGCCTCTAAGAAGTATGTTTTATTAAACTGGCAGTAGAAAACAAACGTATGGTTACAAGCAGGGAAAAGAAAGGAGGAGGGATAAATTGGGAGATATGGATTGCTATGTACACACTACTATATATAAAATAGATAACTACTAAGGACCTACTGTATAGCACAGGGAACTCTGCTTAATACTCTAATGACTTATATGGGAAAAGAATCTAAAAAAGAGTAGATACAGGTATGTTGTATATGCATATCGGGTTCACTTTGTTGTACACCTAAAGCAAACAATATTGTAAATTAACTATACTCTAATTTTTACATTTTTGTTATACTCTAATGAAAATGTTTAAAGAATAAATAAGATAACTGGTTGTCTATTTGCACCTGGTTCCCAGTGCATTACGTGTGGTTCATTCCATTGCTTATGAAATTTGGTCAAAACAGTATCAACTAAATCTGAGATTTTAGTCCCTTTTTTTTTAATGGCCAATCTGATAATCAAAAGAAAATTTTTCTAGAGGAAGAAAACCCCACAAAATAATACTATCTAATATAACTTTGATAAAATTTCTCGCTGAAGATCAAAACTATAAAGCTATACTTTGAAGCTGTGCTTTTTATAGCCAAAACAGTGACAGGTCACATTTTTGCCAAAAAGCTTTTAAAGTCAGTCACAGTGTTAATGATTAATAGCTCAGTAAGAAAACTAAGATTTTGGCAAAATTCCTTTATCAAAAGATATTGTTGAAAGAAACATACTGTTGGACATTGCATAATATCCATGGCATATAAAGTAGACACACACATTGCCTGGAGTTGCCTGGGGCTGCTAGAGAAAGTCATCCTACTATGGTAGGTCCTAGAAATCTATCACACTCCTTCCTCCTTGTTTTCATTGATCTGATGAATTTGTTATCTATGTCTTTATAACAAATCACCCCCAAACCTAGCAACTTAAAAAAAGAAATGTTATCTCTGTTTCTGTGGGTCAGAAATTTGAGACTGCCCTCACCTACCAGTGGTTTAGTTTCAAAGTCCCTCCGAAAGTTATAGTCAAACTATCCAGAGGGGCTGCCATCTCATCTGAAGGCTTAACTGAGGGAGGGTTTGCTGCATGCTCACTCATGTAATTGTTGGTGGGTCTTGGTTATTCCTGGGTTGTTGGATTGAAGCCTCAGTTCTTACTTGGCTGTTTCCCATAGGTCTCCTTGCCATGTGGACCTCTCTTTAGGGCAGCTTACAACATGGCCATTAACTTCTATCAGAGTGAATGATCCAAGAGAGAAAAATGAATCTAGACTAGGATAACCAACTTATCCTGATTTTCCTGGGTTTTGCACTGAAATTCATTTATTTGTCTGCGCTGGGTCTTAGTTGTGGCATGTGAGATCTAGTTCCCTGACTGAGGATAGAACCAGGGCCCCCTGCAATGGGAGCTTGGAGTCTTAGCCCCTGGACCACCAGGGAAGTTCCCTACATTCTTAATATTTCTCTTTGACCACTTTCTTCATTCCCACTGTCACTTCCTTGGTTCATGCTACTTTCACTTATCCTGATTATTGCAGTGAAGCCCTAATCTGTTTTCCGACCTGCAGTCTTGCTCCAGGTCTTGCCTTACTCCAATCTACCCTCCACACTGCAACCAGAGTGATTTATCCAAGCCATTAATTTGGTGATGTTACTTTCTTACATAAAATCTTTCAGTAGATCCTCCTGACTCACAGGATATGTCAAATTCCTTAGCATGCTACAAAAGACACTTTGTGACCTGGCCCCTGCCTCTCTCTCCCTCCCCTTGCATTTGAGACCATGTAGCTCCCTGAATGCCACATGTTCTCACTTTTGTATAAGTTGCCTCCTCTGCCTGAAAAGAGATGCCTCCTCCATCTCACCTCAGCACTTTATTTTTTTTTTAAGTTTTTTTTTAAATTTACTTTTGGCCGTGCTGGGTCTTCTCTAGTTGCATTGATTCACAGTTAGTCTCATTGTGGTGCCTTCTCTTGTTGAGGAGCATGGGCTCTAGAGCTGGGGCTCAGTGGTTGTGGAGCACGGATTTAGTTGCTTTGGGGACATGTGGAATCTCCCCAGACCAGGGATCAAACCTGTGTCCCCTGCATTAGGCAAGCAGATTCTTTAACCACTAGACCACCAGGGAAGCCTACCCCAGCACTTTTTATTCCTCCTTGCCTTTCAGATTCAGCTCATTCACCACCTTCTCTGGGAAGCCTTCACTACACTTCTATTTTCATTCTTACAATCATTTGTGTATTGTGTAGTTGAACATTGTGTATCTGCTGCTCTCACCAGACTCTGAGTTTCCTGGGGGCAAGAGCTTTAAAACTTATCTTTTTACTCCCAACTTCTTACGTGAAACAAACACATAAGAGAGGTTGTCAAATGAATGAATGGAGGCCCAGCCCTTCCAGAGACAGACGGATCAAGGATAACTTTAAGGATAGGATTACCCTCCCTCAGATTCACAGTGTGTGCCCAAGGCTGAAAGTGAATTTATTGAAATAAAAAGCAGAAGATATAGGGAACTTCCCTGGTAGTCCAGTGGTTAAAACTCCATGCTTCCGTATATGTATGGCTGAATCCCTTCACTGTGTACCTGAAACTATCACAACACTGTTTGTTAATCAGCTATATCCCAATACAAAATAAAAAGTTAAAAAATAAAATTAAATTAAAAAGCTAAAAAAAAAGCCAAATACTCTTGCACTTCCACTTCAGGGGGCACAGATTCCATCCCTGATCAGGGAGCTAGATCCCACATGTCACATGACACGGCTAAAAAAAACCCCCCAAAACCAGAAGATATAGCCTTTGTTCTTGAAGGG